TGGTTCCCCTTTACTTACCTTAAATCTATGCCCCTTGGTAACTGAACCGCCTACTCAGGGGAAATTCTGATTCCTATTGACCCTATCTATGCCCCTCATAATCTTCTAAACCTCAATTAGGTACCGCTCAACCTTCTCTGCTCTAAAGAAAATAACCCCAGCCTGTGTTGCAACTCTTCATAGCCAAACACTCATATATGTCTCCATCAAAGCCTCCCAGTGCTCGTATTATTGTTGCATAATATATTATACTGTATGCATGATTTCCCTTTTGTGAAACATTAGACTTTGATTGCTAAGATTACTTTAATAATGGATTCCAAAAAATTTTCAAAGACTGACATGGAGCTAACTGGCCTCTAGTTTCCTGTTTTCTTTCTCTCTTTTCCATTAAATAGCAGTGTTATGTTTGCCAATATTTCTATGCTACAGGGAACATTCCCAGAAGCTGAGGAATTTTGAAAGATCTTCGCCAGTGCATCCATTATCTCTGCAGTTCTCTCTTTAAAAACACTAACATGTGGGCCATTAGGTCCTGAGGATTTGTTGGATTTTAGCCCTTTAAGTTTCTCCACTACTTTTTCTCCGTTGATATTACCTTAACATTAGGTGCTAAAAGTAAATTATGATTCAAGCTCGTGGTGCTATTGGATATGTCAGATCCCAGACATAGATCTGATTTGATAGATCAAGTATGTTTTTTCTCTGAGTAGATATTTAATGTGACGGTTAATTATAGACATATTCACACAAGGCTGCAGAATTTCTTTAACAGATTGGAAGTTTGTTACTCAAAAGAAGAAATTTAAAAAGACATAATATCTAAATATAGAAGACGGTTAGAAAGACTTGAAAACTAAGATAAACAAAGTTTCAGGCTACTTCCCAAGACTATCTATTATTCAGACTCAAAATCCAGAAAAATTACACTCTTATCTCAAATCCTAGGTTTCTGCTTCTCTGACTCATTACAGTTTCTTTGCTATAGAGTATGGAGATAATTCAATGAATCCTTTCCCAAGTCTATTGACATGAATATTTCACAAATTTGAGAGCCTAAACTTTCTCACTTCTAATAACCTGAAAATTTCTACACATGCTTTACTGTTTTAGACGATTTAAAGACTAAACCTATCTGCTGAGGTAACTGATGCCTTAAACCTTAAACACTTTCTGGGAGAGAAAGTAAACTTGCTCCTGAACTCAATTATGGTATCTTCAGAACAGAATTTAAACAAATTTGCACAATCCTAGATTTATTCTGAACAAAAAAATAAGCAACTGGCCTTAAGTGTTTATCCCTCCCATCATAAACTTAACAGAAGAATACCTTTCCATTAACAACACAGGTTACTGCATTCACCTCTTTCTGATAAATACTGGATTTATGTCACTGTCCTGAAAATAATATCTGATAGCATTATTTTTTAGTTAAAACCCTTCTCAGAAGTAACTAACGTGCAGTTAGCTCATTTTGAAATTCAAATTCCAAAAATTATATTACTATATGTAAACCACATTAAGTTGCCTTTTATTTCTGGTAAGCAACTTATATCTCCTTTGTTAAAATAGATGCAAAATGTTTGTTCAATATGTCTGCCAAGTCATAATTTCCCATAATTTCTCTTGCCTCTAGCTCTAAGGAATCAATATTTACCCAGCTACTCCCTTTTAATATTCTTGACTAGTTTCTCATCCTATTTTCTCTCCTTTTTATTAACTTTTTGGTCGCCATTTACTGTTTTCCAAAATAGTCCTCAGATTTATAATCTTGCACAAAACAATAATATGCCTCTTCTTTCATGTAAAACTATCCTTAACCACTTTAATAAGATGCAAAGGGATTTTTTGCTGAGTTTTTGACATTTTCAATTGTTTTTTTAAAGGTTTCACATTATTTATTAATGGTCATACATTTTAGTCTGTTTATCCAATTAACTTTAGCCAGTTCTCCTCTCAAACCTATAAATAATTGGCATTCTTTAAGATTTAAGTTTAAGATTCTTGGCTGAGATTGGAGTACGTCGCTTTCAAGCTGAACATGATATTCAACTATATTATGATCACTGGTTCCCAGCAGATGTTTTACTACAAGAACACTAATTAACCTTGTTTTATTACACAAGACTAGAACTAAACATGTTTTATCCCAAGCTGGTTCCACAACATATTGCTCCTATAAACAATCATAAAAACATTCCACACTCATCCTGTGTACCCCTGTTGCCTATTTAATTGGTCCTTCCTACAAAGATTAAACATTTCCCACAATTATTACATTGCCTGTTGCATGGTTGAATACTTCAAAAAAGACTCCACCCAGGAGAACAGTGTTACCTATAAACTTCTCTCAACAGCATTTTCTGACTCTTGCTATTCATAAAATTCATCCATATTGATTCTACTTCATGATTTTCTGAGTTGAGATCCTTCCTCACTAAAGTTCTTATCTCTTACCTTATTATTATACCTTTCTCCTTTGCCATTCTGTTTGTCTTTTCAAAATACTACATACTCTGAAATATTTATGTCCTAAATTTAAATATCGTGAAATCATCTCTAATCTAAACCATTTATCTTTATTTCAGCTCATTCGCTCATCTATGTAATTGTAGGTGCTTGACACGTGCATATAAGGAGCAATTAATTTCAGTAGTGGAACCACTGTTATTCACAATTTACAATAATTATTTGGACTTAGAAACAAGTAACTCAATATCAAAATTTGCGCATGATATCAAATTGTATAGCTAATATTGAGGGAAGAAAAGTGCAACATAATACAAGATGATATTTAAATACTAGCAGATTTTAAAATTAAGTTTAAATTCAATCAATAGATAAATGTAAGGTGACACAGTCAGGGAAATAAAGGCATTAGCAGTACCTTACAGTGTAAGGAACTAAATGGCATGAAAGTGCAAAGGAATCTAGGGACGTGGGGATACAAATTATAAAAAATGTTTCATTAATTCATGGGATATGGGCATCTCCGGCTAGGCTAGCATTGATGAACCATCCTTAATTGCCCTTCAAGTGGTGCTTATCAGTCTTGAATCATTGCAATCAGCAAATCATTGCTTAGAAAGCGCTGGGATTTATTTTTGGTGGTATTGAATTCAAAAGTGTTGAACTCAAATTCATTTTGAACCTTGGTTAAGATGTCCTTAGAATATTATGAATTGTTCCGGTCTCTACACTTTTATCTCATGAATCTATGTCCTTTTTTAAAGTGTAAAAAATATTTACAAGAACAGTAATAAAACTGAGAGCACGGCAAGAAAGTTTGAACAATTAAAGATGGAGAAAACTTAGAGGTGGCTTGACGGGTTCTTTATAGATAAATTCAGGGAGACTCTTCCAAAAACTAGAAACTATGTACAAAGTATAATCACCACTAAATCCAGTAACAAAGTAAGGAGGAATTTCCTTAGTCAGAGAATGGTTGAATGCGGAATTTACTGCAATGAGGCAAATAGTTTAGATGCTTTCATAAGCAAGCTATGTTACACTTCACTGAGGTAGTGCACTGAAAATCAAGCCCCAGTATTCAGGGAGTAATTACAGAAGTTAAAAGTGTTATAACTTATGCAAAGCTCACCAAATTACTTCACTTTCAGACCCAGGTTGATAGAAATTACAGACCAGGTTTCTGCACTGAACAAGAATCGATATTTATAACAGGTATTTAGACTCTTATTAGAAGTAGAAAGTTACAAACCATCGGCATATAATATCACTAATTAAAAGTTTAATCTCCTTATAAGCTATCCTTTGCATAGACAAACAAGTAGGTAAAAATAGGCTATGGCAGAGGAAAAAAGAACTGAAAAGACAGTTCAGTACTCTTTGTTTTAAGGTTCTGTTGGTGAGTTGCCCCTTAGGACTTTACTCATGGTCAGCACAGGGTTTTGCAGCTGTCTTTCTTCAGGTGCTTCCACTGGTTGGTAGGAGACACAAGATGACCCGTTCATTTATAAAAAGTCTCAGATTTATCACTTAAAAGTTACCAGTTTACAACAACTGTTTCAGGATATATAAAATGGTTTTCTTCAGGTTTAAAGTTAGTTTTAAGTGAACAGAAAGACTGCTCCCGAACTGGGGAGGAGCTGAACATTTCTCTCTCTCAGTAACTTGTTCCCAGCTCTAAGCTATTCAATTATCTGAGAACTAATCACAGTGGTTCCACTACAGAAATGTGAATGTGGCTGCCAGTCATCAATAACTGGTCATTAGTCCATAGGCCAAATGACTTCTTGTTGTCCACTTCAGCTATATCCGTAAACCCTTACATCTCCAAATCACTTACAACTCAAACTTCAATTACTGCTTGTTCAATCAATTGAATACACAATACCTGCAATAGATGTCAGGTTACTTGCTTTCTAAACTATAGCACTCTTCCAAACACTGATTTTAAAAGAGCTTTTTTCTCATTTCAATCCACAATTTTAAAAAAAGCACTAAATAAAAAGACTCAGTCCTCAGAACTAGATGTGTGTGAGAGAGAAAAGGGAACAGAAAGATTCACTGAAATGCTGAGATGAGGTACATGGTATAGGAAGCTACCCATGGAATCAAACACAGATTAGTTTAACAGAAATGCTTTTGTTTCTGTGTTGTGTGTTGTCAGAAATTCTGTGCAAAATTTATAAAATTTCTCTTATTCAAATTCTTTCAGATACAGTGAAGGAAAAACCTTTAATCCAGTAAATTGTGTCACAGCGAGAGCACAGAGTTAAACATTAAAGTTTGATCTATTATTGGGACTTGTAAATATTCATTTATGTGGTATTTTCTCAGTCTGGCAGCTTCTGTTAGCACAGCACCAAAGAGCTTATCAAAAAGTGAATCAATTTTTGCATCAAAGCAAGCTGTTGTTAATTGGCATATAAAGAAGTGAAAGTGCAGAGTTATTCAGACTTTCCAAACCATTCCTTCTGAAAGAGTAGGAGATCCTACAGCAGAAAAATGTACACCAAGACAATATACTCACATACCCTTTTGTTATCTTCCTCCTCCTGTGCTTTCCGAAACTCCTGCTCTAAGGAACATGCCAGCTCATTAAAGAGTCCAACTTCTTCACAGTTCTTCAGAAATCGAGTAGGGGTGGGAGTCTGGTCTACAAAAATAATGTGTTAGAATTATTTGCATTAAGTTCTACTAACTAAAATAAACATACTCTCTTCCTCATTCTCTAACATCTAGCGATCAAGCCCCAAGATAGATACAATAAATTTGACTTGTGACTACACATTTTTCAGGATTTAGGAGTATCTTTGGAATAACTTGATAAAATATGCAACATCCAAAATAACATAAGCTCAGTGAACATCAAACAGAAGTATACATATCAAGCAGGTTATGATGTCATCCAGTTTGTAACAGTAATTTAACAACAAGGTGCCATTTTGGAACTCAATGCTCCAGCTGATAAACTCAACCTCAGACAGCCAAACTCTTGTCCAACAACAGGAAAGACACCCAACCAGCTCTATTTAAAAAAGTTCAGCCACCACATTTACATTAGTTGTTGGTTGATTTCTTCTGATCATTGCTGTACAAGCGTTGGATGTTTTCTACAGATGTCTGACGTCACTAAAATCTACAGGGAGTATTACGGTGCTGAGGGACGTTTTGCTGACTTAAAAGCTTGTTTGCAAAGTCATTGCCCCTAGACACGGATGTATTACTAGACAGTTCCCTGGAGAGAGAATGTTACTTGGAGAATGTAAATAGGCAACACAGAGCAAGGCAAGGCGCTGCAAGAAGGAGAAACAGAAGAAGGGCTCTCAACAGAAAGCGTCTGGGGAATAGTTCTCTGATTTAACCAGAGAGAGGAACAATGTGTGAGACATCTTCACTTCGAAGAACGTCATCACTGAAATGGTACCAGCTGCAGGCATAACCCCAAAATCAGAGTTAGGGCAAACTCAAATAATGCTTACCTCAACTTTGCACATTATCCCTTCTGATTGGGAGTATGGAATGTAAGGAAAATCAAATAAAAGTATAAATCCATCTAAATTATGGAATAAATGTATTTCTAAAATGTACAAATTAAGTCATTATTTATAAAATCTTAATTTCTTGACCTAGATTTCTGTAAGGTGCCAAGTTATCACCTGGCTTTAGGAAATAAAAAGAGAAAATTATGGGATCACTGAGCAGAATAGGCAGTACCCATGGCTGAAGGAACAGGCTTTAATTGTGATCAGTCCAATCTAAGGGAAGGGTTTCCCTTCCATCATGTAGACTCACCACTTTAGATTTTGTTTATTTCTTCACAGCTGTGCAATGCACTCTCGCATTCCCTGATCTGCCTCAGCAGTATCCAACTCTTCCTTAGGGGCAGTCAGGTCTTCAGAGCTGCTGGCCCTCGAACTGGGCCAGTGGCATAGAGTGCCCATGATAGTGAATGCAGAGGTGACTAATTCAGAAGTGACGTCCCAGAAGATTGCTGAAATTGTCTCGCTGCCAATAAGTGAGAACCCAGAACCTCTATTTGAACCCAACTTTCAGCCACAAGTCTGAATGAAAATCCAGCTCAATGTTTCAGATTAGTGATCTTTAATCAAACCCCTAGCTTCCGATTCATTTGTCTGGACTCTGATTTTTTTCTGATTGATTCAGACTTCAAACTGATTGAAATACATTATTGTCGGGTGGTTAGATTATGCTACAATTATTGCCTTTCAAAATCATTAATTATAAAGTGTTCTGTAAGGGTTCTTGGGGCATGGCGGTAGCGTCAGGAGGCCCACATTCAAGTCCCACCTAATCCAGAAGTGTATAATAAGATCTCTGAACAGGTTGATTAGGGGAAAAAAAAATCTACAAAGTGTTGCCAACAATCCAGAGTATAGAAACAGGGTGCACAGCACAAGAGGTTCTTGTACAGAATAAACACAGACATGAGCTTGTTCCCACCCTTCTTAAACTAATTTAAAAACAAATCTTTCTATTTCTTTCTCCCTTGCATGTATCTGTGATAGTTGTCTCAACTTTAAACGAGTGAGTTGGGGGGAAGGGAAAGGGAAAACGACAGGGAGTATGATGGTAAATGAAAAGGTAAGCAGCAGGTTAGCATGTGTGCAGGAGGGTTTAAGTTCAAGGCAGACTATGAAAGAAGCAAAAAGGAAGGATAACTCAGGTGATATTATTAGAGATGTTGGAAATCATGAGGGTAAGAAAGCTAGCATAAAGGCACTTTACCTGAATGCTCGTAGCATTCGTAACAAGGTTGATGAGTTAACGGCACAAATCATCGCGAATGAATATGATTTGGTAGCCATTACGGAGACATGGTTACAGGATGGTCACAACTGGGAGTTAAATATCCAAGGGTACCAGACTATTCGGAAGGACAGACAGGAAGGTAAGGGAGGTGGTGTAGCTCTGATATTCAAGGACGCCATCAGGGCGGTGCTGAGAGATGATATAGGTTCTATGGAGAATGAGGTTGAATCCATTTGGGTGGAAATTAGAAATTCTAAGAGGAAAAAGTCACTGATAGGCGTAGTCTATAGGCCACCAAATAATAACATCACATTGGGGCGGGCAATAAACAAAGAAATAACTAATGCCTGTAATAATGGTACGGCAATTATCATGGGGGATTTTAACCTACATGTAGATTGGTCGAACCAGCTCGGTCAGGGTAGCCTTGAGGAGGAGTTCGTTGAGTATATCCGTGATAGTTTTCTTGAACAGTATGTAATGGAACCGACAAGGGAGCAAACTATCCTAAATCTGGTCCTGTGTAATGAGACAGGAATAATTAATGACCTCATAGTTAGGGATCCTCTTGGAAGGAGATTGAGAATACAGATGGAGAGTGTGAAGATAAAATCCAATACCAGGGTCCTGTGCTTGAACAAGGGGAACTACAATAGAATGAGGGAGGACTTGGCTAAAGTAGACTGGAAACAAAGATTTTATGGTGGGACAGTTGACGAGCAGTGGAGGACTTTCAAAGCAATCTTTCAAAGTGCTCAGCACAAGTATATTCCAATGAAAAGGAAGGACTGTAAGAAGGGTCTAGGCCCGAAACGTCAGCCTCTCTGCTCCTATGATGCTGCTTGGCCTGCTGTGTTCATCCAGCCCTGCACCTTGTTGTCTCGGATTCTCCAGCATCTGCAGTTCCTACTATCACTGTAAGAAAAGGGGTCATCTGCCATGGGTGTCTAAAGAAATAAGGGAGGCTATCAAATTGAAAGAGAAGGCATACAAAGTGGCAAAAAACAGCATGAAACTAGAAGATTGGGAAAACTTTAAAGGTCAACAGAAAGCCACAAAAAGAGCTATAAAGAAAAGTAAGATAGAACATGAGAAAAAACTAGCACAGAATATAAAGGCAGATAGTAAAAGTTTCTATAAATATATAAAACGAAAAAGAGTGGCTAAAGTAAACGTTGGCCCTTTAGAGCATGAGAAGGGGAATTTAGTTATGGGATATGATGAAATGGCCGAGGCATTGAACAAGTATTTTGTATCGGTCTTCACAGAGGAGGACACTAATAACATGCCAGAAATTGACAAAGAGACGAAGGTAGGTGAGGACCTGGAAACAATCATTATTACGGAAGAGGTAGTGTTGGGCAAGCTAATGGAGCTAAGGATTGATAAGTCTCCTGGCCCTGATGGAATGCATCCCAGCGTACTAAAAGAGATGGCGGGAGAAATAGCAGGTGCACTGGTGGTAATTTTCCAAAATTCACTGGACTCTGGGGCAGTCCCAGCAGATTGGAAAACAGCAAATGTGATGCCACTGTTTAAAAAGGGAAGTAGACAAAAGATGGGGAATTATAGGCCGGTTAGCTTAACCTCTGTAGTGGGGAAGATGCTTGAGTCTATTATCAAGGAAGAAATAGCAAGGCATCTTGATAGAAATTGTCCCGTTGGGCAGACGCAGCATGGGTTCATGAAGGGCAGGTCATGCTTGACAAATCTTTTGGAATTCTATGAAGACATTACGAGCAAGGTGGACAATGGGGACCCAGTGGATGTGGTGTACCTAGATTTCCAAAAGGCCTTCGACAAGGTGCCGCACAAGAGGCTACTGCATAAGATAAGGATGCATGGCATTCAGGGTAAAGTATTAGCATGGATAGAGGATTGGTTGACTAACAGGAAGCAAAGAGTGGGGATAAATGAGTGCTATTCTAGCTGGCAGTCAGTGACTAGTGGTGTGCCTCAGGGATTGGTGTTGGGACCGCAATTATTTACAATTTGTATAGATGATTTGGAGTTGGGGACCACGTGTAGGGTGTCAAAATTTGCAGATGACACTAAGATGAGTGGCAGAGCAAAGTGTGCAGAGGACTGTGAAACTTTGCAGAAGAACATAGATACATTGAGTGAGTGGGCAAAGGTCTGGCAGATGGAATACAATGTAAATAAATGTGAAGTGATACATTTTGGTAGGAGTAATAGTAAAAAGGATTATTACTTGAATGGTAAAAAGTTGCAGCATGCTGCTATGCAGAGGGACCTGGGTGTCCTTGTGTCTGAATCACAGAAGGTAGGTTTGCAGGTACAACAAGTAATTGGGAAGGCAAATGGAATTTTGTCCTTCATTGCTAAAGGGATTGAAATTAAAAGCAGAGAGGTTATGTTGCAGCTGTACAAGGTGCTAGTGAGGCCACACTTGGAGTACTGTGTGCAGTTTTGGTCTCCTTACTTGAGAAAGGATGTATTGGCACTGGAGGGGGTGCAAAGGAGGTTCATAGGTTGATTCCGGAGTTGAGGGGGTTGGCTTATGAGGAGAGACTGAGTAGATTGGGATTATATTCATTGGAATTCAGAAGATTGAGGGGGGATCTTATAGAAACATACAAAATTATGAAGGGAATAGATAAGATAGAAGTAGAGAGGATGTTTCCACTGGCAGGTGAAGCTGGGACAAGAGGGCATAGCCTCAAGATTAGAGGGAGCAGATTTAGGACTGAATTGAGAAGGAATTTCTTCACCCAGAGGGTTGTTAATCTGTGGAATTCCTTGCCCAGTGAAGTAGTTGACGCTACTTCAGTAAACGTTTTTTAAAAAAAGTAGATTTTTTTTAACAATAAAGGAATTAAGGGATATGGTGAGAACGCGGGTAAGTGGATCTGAGTCCACGAA